GGCATTCCTAAAACCGTTATTAAGTAGTAATGTATTATCGGCTTCTTTGGCTTCTTTTGTTGACGTTGAACATTTTTCAGAACTGATCCAGATAATACCACAACATTATGACATCAAATTTGTACCATTGTTGTAAATGAAAACCGTTATTAAGTAGTAATGTATTATTTATCGTGACGGCTTCTTTTGTTGACGTTGAACATTTTTCAGAACTGATCCAGATAATACCACAACATTATGACATCAAATTTGTACCATATGTTAAAGTGTTGTAAATCTTTGCGTTGTCGTTAATAAAATAGTAATTTGGTACAATAAAATGTTTCTTTTGTTATTCTTGAGACAGTTATATAAAAATCTATACATTTTTAATAATAAAACAATAACTGGATGAACTAACTATATAATAAAATAACCGTATAAATTAAATAACTTGTGTAATTATTTTCGATGCAGTCAAAACGACCGGTAATGTCAATTTTCTATTATCTCCGGGCCCACCGGGCCCACTTGGTAGACGGGAAAATTTTTCCAGAGCCAGTGGTCTTTAATAATATCTCGGTGGTAATATCTATAAAGTGAAGCTCAGACATAAAAGATAAAATGAATAAATCTTGTAGAAAAATAAAGAAAATGCACTTAGAAAGCACGGAAATTATATATTTTTATATCTTCATACGCGTATTTATAAAATAATTTTAATACAACAAAATTTAATACAACAGATTTTAATACAACAAAAATTTTATAATAAAATTTATAACTTAAGTAATTTATAAAGTCTTAATTAAAATCTCACATGAATATTCTACAAAATAAATTTAAAAAATCAGTTCTTGAGAATTTATAAGAAATCTTAGCACTTTGAAGTTCTTACAATCATTGAAAGATCTTTGCACGACTTGTAAAAATGTATGCGGACATTAAGGACCACTGTCTACGGAGTTGCATAAACGCGTCAAGTAGCGTATTTAAAGTGACGATACGCCTACGATAATGTTGTTTTCATGAAGCGTATACTAAGCATACACGAAGCGTACACTAAGTGTATAATAAGGATAGGAAAATTTCGTTTGGGTTCATTTAAACAGATGTCGAGCGATGATAAGGACGTGATTATTTTATATAATTATATTCAACAGCGTAGAAATAGAAAAAGATACAGGCTAAATCCATACATCGAAAAAAATATTAATTGTAGATTATTTGTCGCTGTGAGGGAATTAGTAGAAAATGAGTATGTATTTCATATATGTTACAGAATGAGTAAAAATAGCTATCAAAATTTAGTGAAATGGTAGGACCATTAAATCAAAAACAAGGACATTGTTCAATAGTTTGAATAAATATCGTAGCTGACATAACGCTAAATACACAAAGATATAATCATAAAAAACAACCGAGAAAACACATGCATCGCGCGTTGTACTCCCGTTGACCGACAATGCCGTACATCGGGCTTCGGGATGAAAGCATGCAGCGACAAAAACGCGATATTGCCGTTTCGTCAATAGATGCCCATTGTTTACGTTGGTCACTGCTTAGAAGCGTACAGTAAGTGTAAAATATCTAATACATGTCTATGCAGCGACGTCTCTGTAGACAGTGGGCCCAAAACTAAGAATTACAATTCGTCCTTAAAATTTCTGAAATCCGCACCATGGACCTTCATTTGATGTGTTAGCTTGTTCCAAAACGTCATTCTCTCCCAAAGAAGATTATTTTCCATAACTATCTTGGTCGAATTTCCTATGTATAGATATTCCAGTGAATTCGTTTTCACCGGCTTCCATTTCAGGGGGATTAATTTTGTGATCTTTGGCGTTGGATTTCTAAAAGAGATTTTTATTATATTATATATTTCATTATGATATACATCGTTTTATATCTCGTTGTATATTAAAAAGAAAATTTATTTAAATCCGTTATGAATCTATTATATAATAATTAAAATATAATCACAAAAAACACACGTTATTATGCTAAATATTATCGTGATAAATATTAATTTTATTTTACTGCTCTTTTACATTCTCGTGAAATAAATATCTGTATATATATATACAGGGTGCGGCATTTATAGTGACGCGGGCATATTTTTCGGAAACGAAGTGAGATATCAAAAAATGTTTCAGATAAAAGTTGCATGGTTTCGAGGGGGCCACATGATAAAAATATGGATTTGACCTTAAGTGGTCTTTTCAAGGTGAGGTCAATGTGGTCGATGTTTTCTTAAATGGAACCCCTATTTTTTATTACATATTCTTATAGCTTACCTCGAGAGCTTTCCAAAACACTATAATAAAGTATTTTTTCATTAAGTACTTTTTGAGTTATTTTATATTTTAATCTGACATATTTTGATATAAAAAATAAAATATCTCGTAAAATATTTAGTTTTCGATAATCTTACATAAATACTTTTATGTACAGAATAATGAGACAAATCAAAAATACATTGTAAATAATTACATACCTTTTCTTAAAAACAATTATTTTTTTATACTAATTGATTTGTCTCATTATTCTGTACATAAAAATATTACGATAAAATTATCGAAAACTAAATATTTTACGAGATATTTTAATTTTTATATCAAAATATGTCAGAATAAAATATAAAATAACCCAAAAAGTATTAATGAAAAAATACTTTATCATAGTGTTTTGGAAAGCTCT